ATGCTTTTATGCATTTTTATGGCTTGCAATACCCCCCCCCCCCCAAACTCTCTTTTCCCAGTGCTTGCTCCATGTGGATTGCAGAGATAGGGATGCAACCTTTTCTGATGATGAGATTGTCTTACAAATTGTGGCAAGTGCCTCTGTGAATTCTTTCTAAGTGCCCTTTTTTTTAACTGATTCGCTTTAGGATTGAAAGGGAAGTCCAACAAGAGGCTTATATCAATGCGTGAAGTAAAGCAGCACCAAACAGAAGGCTCTATGTGGACAGTTTTAAAAGGCAGTGTGTATAATATTACTCCTTACATGAAATTCCACCCTGGAGGTATGTAATCATATACAAGTTCTTTAATTTATCTCTTCTGCAATTTGATCCTTATTTCTAATTCCTACTTCATCTGTTTTATGTCTGGAAGTGTTTTCCCTGTAACTGATTTCCTTCCTAGTAGCTTTACTCTTGTCATGTTTTGTTCCCAGGCATTGACATGCTGATGAAAGCTGTTGGGAAAGATTGCACTCCTTTATTCAGTATCCTTTTGGCGCGTATTTTCTTTACGGTCGTTTATGAACTAGTGCTTCTTTACTGTCAGTAAAAAAACCTTATGGTCATGATATAAGTTAGATTGCATGATGGTGTCTAACTCATCAAAAAAGTTCTCATTTTTTGGGTTTCATTGGTGAGAATGTAAGAGGCATATCAAGCATTCAAGAAATGTTGTTCAGTGAGGAGTCCTTGACACACCTTTTGTTCCTCAGACAAGTACCATGCTTGGGTGAACGCCGAGTTCTTGCTCGAAAAGTGCCTCGTCGGCATTTTGGATGACACTGGTGAAAACAAGCGAGTCGCAGATTGACACGAGGAAGCAAGGAGCGTGCCCCCGTGTTTTTCTTCGGATTGGGCTCTAAGAAAAAAAAGGTTGAAGTTATTATTATGATACTTTTGAGTTGAAGATGGAGAAATGTTTTGTATTCCGCTATAACAATATATTTTATATAGTGAAGTTGGCCAGTCAATTTTCTCTCTACTTATAAGCTAGTCAAAAACTGCTTTTAAGTTGTTTAAAATTTATCGAAATAATTCTGTTGCAATAAAAAAAATCCATTGCAATTCTGCAACAAAAAAATTGCATGTTGTAAGGTTTTCGTTGCAAATTTGATATTTTCTGGTAGTGTGCATGCACCCCACTTGCAAAAGGACATCACCATCTAACACAAGTGTCTTTTTAACTCCTTAGCTTTTAGAACCCTTCCCAGGCTGGCTGGACTTGCCTCAAACCAAACATTAATTAATTGAATTTAATTATAGAGTACGACACACACGTATTGAATATTAACCATATTGCATGTATATGATCATCAATAAATCACAGATTATGACTCAAGGGTGTGGATCACGTGAGAAAGCTCTTAGTGAGAGAAATGAGAATGATGCATTATTCGTCCAGCACGATGCATGTATATATTATGGTAGTGCACTTTTTGCAAAGGCATAAAAATGCATAAAAGTTTAACTTATTTATTGAAATGTCACTGTGTTTTTCTAGAATTTTGCTTAATTTTCTACTCCCTTCATCCCACAAAACATTTCATGTTTTGAATTTTAAGTGATTTAATAGGAGTGTATTTTGGTATTGACTCAAAATATGATGTGATAGATAGGTTAAGAATTAGTAAGGGTAAAGGTGACTTTTTAAAAGAAATGAGAAAAGTTTTTTGGGACGGATGAAAAAAGAAAGGGGATGTTTTGTGGGATGGAGAGAGTATTTTTTATGACCCTTAGATCATAATATCTAATGCACCACATTTATTCTTATTTCTTTCACTAGATTTCATTCTCACTGGATCCAAAACCTATGACTGAATATATATCCATAAAAGTAAAAATGAGATAATGAGGCTTTATTTTTGAAAAGTCAACACAAAAATATCGAAGGTATTTTTGAAAAGTCAACACAAAAATATATCTTCCTTATTTCTCTTAAAAGTCAAAATAGGAAAGACTGTAAGGAACAAAAGAAGTATAAGTCTATACTTTTGAAAACATAATGACGCACAATAATCCATCGTCTCTGTTAAAACTTATATTTGAATCAACATCCATAGAATTTTGAGGAGTATTCCTCCTAGTACTTAAGCCACGGAAGAAATTCATTGAAATCTAATTTTTCTATATACTGGAATCTACTTGAAAAATGATATTTGATCATACTTCTTCCGTTCCGTAAAACTTTTTTACTTTCACATCTTGTCTGCTCCATAAAATATTTCAATTTGAGCTAATGGACATAATTATCTTTACTTTCTTAAATTTAACCGAACATATCTCAATTATCTTCTACGCACTATCTAACTTGTTGACATCTCCCGAATCCTAATCTTTTCAATGGTCACCGTTTGAAACAGGAAAAATTTTAGGAGAGGGAGATAGCATAAACTTGGACGTACGGATAGTTCGACCCATATATGCCAATAATTCGTGCTCCAATGGCCAAACCGGCATCTCAAGCACAAATACACGTGTGTGTTGGTACTTTTGCTTTTTGAAAAAAAAAATTAGGTTCTTTTTTCTTTTTTAAAAAAAAGATGATGCTCATCTCCGAGGGCCTCCTCAGATCCGTCTGGACGGTCAATAAGAATAGTTAAATTATACTTTGATCATAGATTGATAGCAAAGAATGGAGACTGCACCTGGTACTTGCACAAATTCTATGTTTAGCGTAGTTATCTCCTAGTACAGTTGTCAAGAATCAAACTTAGGTCTTACCTTCTTAACACTTCTTGTCTTTGTCAACTCTGCAATTTCTGATATTCTTTTTTTCTTTTAAATTACTCCTTGCATGGTAAATAGCTAGATATCATGTCAATATATGATGAGAGATGAGACATGAGAACTCATATTAGGTACGGAATAATGACCTTCAGAACTTTGGCCCATATTGCATGGCCCGCTCCAGCCACACATCTTTTTATTCTTTCCTACGGAGTACGTACTTGCATGATACTACACTTGGATAGATAGAGAGAATATTACTCCTTATCATATCTTCTTCTTCTTCTCTATTTCATACTAGTAGTAGTAATAAAGTTTGAGTATTTTATTACTCCTTATTACGGAGTATATCTTCTTCTTCTTTAAAATGATTATTTTATTTATAAATATGTATAGAAATAAAAAAAAAATTACATATTTAAACATCAAAATTTTTACAAAACAAAAGTCGACAAGAATGTTTTATGATATGGTCAACAAAAATATGCAAATAAGAACAATTTTTCGAGATGCCGTAATAGTAAAGAGGTAAGTCATTTTGAGACGACATCTTTAATTTCTTTGACTTTAGTCGAATACAAAATTTAGTTACTCCCTCCGTCCCATTTTATAACGCCTGTTTCGGTTTACGATGTTTGACTGAAGTTATTTTCAAATCATTTTATATGACAAATGGTATAGAATTAAAAAATAAAAATTACATATCAAAATACTACATCAAAAGATCTACAAAACTAGTAGTGACAACAATATTTTATTTTATCAATTTGCTAACGAAAATAGAGAAAGAAAGTGAATAAAGTTTGACCCTGTGAATANAGTCGAATACAAAATTTAGTTACTCCCTCCGTCCCATTTTATAACGCCTGTTTCGGTTTACGATGTTTGACTGAAGTTATTTTCAAATCATTTTATATGACAAATGGTATAGAATTAAAAAATAAAAATTACATATCAAAATACTACATCAAAAGATCTACAAAACTAGTAGTGACAACAATATTTTATTTTATCAATTTGCTAACGAAAATAGAGAAAGAAAGTGAATAAAGTTTGACCCTGTGAATAGTAAACAGGCATTATAATTTGGGACGGAGGGAGTACATTTTTGCGACTTTGTATATATATTCTTTATCGTTCTTGTTCTTTAATTTTAAACTTTAATACTCCCCCTGCTCCAAAATTACTACATATTTCAGATGACTTTCAGTAACTTTTATTTGCGTGTGCATTTTTTATTTTTGATCATTTGATTAAATAAAGCAGATATGTCACAATTTATCTTGTCGAGCTTTTGATATATTTTTAAAATATGATTGTTTTAAAAATGATGATATTTTACACGTTATTCGAAACAAGACGATGATTTTGGAACTGAGAGATTACAAAATACGGAGTAGTATCTATCCATATATTCTTAACCTATTGAAGCCCGTAAAACAAGAAGTCGTAAGAGTACCTTTGATCTACTAGGTGTTTGGCAAGCTAAGGAGAAGTTAACTTAGTTTAAACTATATAGGGTAGAAGTGTGGAACACTAGAGCGGATGAATGGGAGGGAGCATTGAAATCTAAAAGCTAATAATAAGTCCGCGTGAAAAGATGGCCGGAATGTCCTTAAATCAACTAACCAAACTACCCTATGATGAATATGTAGGGACCAACAACGTCCATTTTATGCCTAAAAACTGTCTCTAAGTCTTTAATTCACCACTAACTCCCCCCACATCTTTATTATATTCTTCAAGAACCTAACTTAAGGGCATGTACAATGGGGTGGACTCTGACCCTGTCCCAATTCCTACCATATCATCATTTCCTATTTTGTATCATGTCAAAACTCATGCGATGTTATCTTCCTCTCGTCCCGTCTCTTCATTTATTTTACATTATTCATCACTTTTAATTAAAAAAATAATTAAATTTAATAAAAAAATATTCATCTATTAATGAAAATATATAAATAATGATAACAAAAATAAAAAAGGATTATAATAATAAAAAAATAAAAAATAAGCAAATAATACATTGAGTGAGATGGGAATGGATAAGCTGGAGTTGGAGATATGATGGATTTATAGAGTTGAAAATTTTCTTTTAAAAAAATTAATATGTAAAAACAAAAAAATAAAAAAGAAGAAGAAGAATTTCCTCCGTTTATATTTAAAAACTTCTTCAAAGAAATAATTTACTTATGAAATAAAAAACAAAAAAGGGAAAAATAAGTAAAATTTACTCTATGAATAATGAAGACAACTTTTATTTTGAAAGAAAAGGAATAATAACAAAAACTCAGATCCAGCACAAATTATTTTGATGGTGAAGCTCAAAATCCGGCCCACTTGTGAAACGGGTCTTTCATTTTATTCAAGGCCCGAACATCAAAAAAACAAGTCGGGTTTTTTAAGGTCGGGTTCGGGCCCATCACCACCTGTAAAATAATTAGTCACACAGAAATGGGAGTGTGGCAAAACAAAACAGAAACACAATGGTCCCAGAATTTGCTCTTCACTGCCTCCCAAATTGAAGGATTCATTCCATTGTCGTCCCCAGAAGTCCTTCCCATATGCCCTCTTCAACCTTTGTCCCTCACTTGTCCCCTAAATCTCCGGACATCTGCCTCCACATCCCTCTTCACTCTCCAGACAATTTCCCTTTCATCTGTCCCTAATTTATAATGAAAAAATAAAACCCATTTTTATATTTTTATGAAAAAAGATCCATTATAGAGTCCCTTTACAACTCTTTTATTATATATAACAACAGTTTCCCACAATCTGTGCATCAAGACTCACTCTTTTCCCCTCCATCTCCATTCTTGAACCGGAAAGATTCAGTCTTTCACTCTGATCTGATACTATACCAGCAGTGGAAGTAAACAAAAGAAGAAGAAAAAATGAAAGGTGTATTGGGACATGAGAATGATCTGAGCCTCATGGCAACTGAGCTCAGGCTGGGCCTCCCTGGAACTGAAGGAGAGTGTGACCAAGAAACAGTGTCAACTGCCAAAAGCTACAAGAGAGCCTTTCAAGAATCCGAAGCAGAGGACTGCGAATCCAAGGCTGATGCCTCGCCAGTCTCCAAGTAAGTCCGTTTCCCCCGAACGGGTTCCTGTTAGAGTTAATTAAAAAAAACCATTCTTGTGCCCACAACCAAAAGATTGAGAGTTTGATCCTAAATGGTCAATCTTGTCTGATGCAGGTCACAGATTGTGGGATGGCCTCCGGTCAGATCATACCGGAAAAACAGCCTCAGGGCAAATAAGGGAGGAGGAGGAGGAGGGGATGGCAACCAGAATGGAATGTATGTGAAAGTGAGCATGGATGGGGCACCTTACCTAAGAAAGATTGACTTGAAGATGTACAAAGGGTATCAAGAACTGATAAGTGCTTTGGAGAACATGTTCAAGCTCACAATTGGGGATTACTCTGAGAGGGAAGGCTACAAAGGGTCTGAATATGCACCTGCTTATGAAGATAAAGATGGTGACTTGATGCTTCTTGGAGATGTCCCTTGGGGGTAAGTTCTTCAGTCTTCACCATTCCCATTCTTGGGCCCTACATGTGTGTATATATATATATTCTTTGAAGAAGAAAAAAAAAGATTAGATTTTGATATGTGCAGTGTAGTGATTGTGCATTGCTTTGGCTTATTGCAGAATGTTCTTGTCATCTTGCAAGAGGTTAAGAATAATGAAAGGATCTGAGGCAAGAGGATTGGGGTGTGGAATTTGAAATTATGCACATCTTGAAGCATCAGAGCAATTTCTTTTTTTGCAATTCTCTGCACTACAAGTCTACAACTGAGAAGAAGTGACAACAGAGCTTTTCTTTCTTTCTTTTTTTAGTTATGAACTTATGATGCAGTGTCTGTGAAACTTTGTTTAATCTGAAGCAAGAAAACGATGGAGGTTTCATTATCTGTCTTGTAATATTATTATCAATCTTATTTTCTGTTGCTGTTGAGAAATATTCACAATTGTATATTATGATTTCCCAAGTGTAAATGTATAAAACAGTTTTGGTCTCTTTATCCTTTCCAAAGAACAGAAGATACCATTTGCCAATGCATATTAAATCATTTTCCAGAAAATGACTTCTGAAGAATAACTTGTTTACACTATATCGACAAGAGTAGAGAGATGTCAGTAAGATAGGACACATCGTTAAGTGATCGTTTCGCGTGATAAACTTTGATGGTGGATTACACTCAGCATACACAATTACAACTCGATCTCAAACTTACTCATATTGTTAACGATAGAAATCTCCCACACTAAATAAGACTAACATATGACTATATGAGAATATGAATTGCCTTTCGCATTGCGAATTATTTCTCGAATAAAATCTCATGATTCTACATCATATCATAGCAAAGACTTAAGACCTCAAATAAGAACCTCAAGTTTAGTCAACCAAGTGACAACTTGAGGCAAAAAGACCAAGGCACACATCTTGAGGATAAAAAGTCCCACATCAAACACCCATTCTTTAAAAAAAACACTGATATATATGAATATGTGTTACACCTCTCATTACCAATGGTTGGGTTGATATCTCATAATTTTACACAGACTAAACATGATTGAGAAGGCACAAATCTCACATGAAAGAAACATTTAATTGCAGACAGTTACATGCACAAATTTTAGTGCTTTTACAGTGCCCATACAGATGAAAATGTCCCCACCAGGAGATTTGAAAAAACAAAACAGAGAGATATGGAGGATGGGTATATTATAAGTTTGAACAACACAATATACTCAAAATCTTTTTGAGCATGTCACCACCAACAATATAATAATAGAAGTAGTAATAATGGGAGAAAGTGCCTTCTGCACATTTAGCCATCTTCAAGTTGTGAGACATCATACCTTGTTTGACAATAAAAAGAAAGTGGCCAAGGCTGTGTCAAAAAGCAGAATAGTGGCATCTGAGTTGGATTGCACTGCCCCCCGGACGGAACGGATTGACTTGTAAGAAGTGACAATTATAGAGAAACTTGGCATAGGCACGCGCAAAGGACTGGGAGACTCTAAGAAGGAGCCGATGGTTCCGGCTTAATGGCCAAGGAGGAATCACCTGATTGGTGTGTGGGGTAGATGAGAGCTGCAAGAGATATGGGCATGATGCAAAGGGATTTGGACTGGAGGTATTGCATGGCTGCACCAACATCTTCTTCCATCAGCTTTGCCACTTCCCTTTCTGTTTCTATGTTTGACCACTTCTCCCATACATGCTGGTTTGCCCGGTTTTCGCCCCCGTCCCCCTGAAATATTTCCAGAAAGAAGCTCATGTATGTTTTTTTTCCCACAGAGTTTAAGAAAAAGTGAAAATTTTATGCAGATGAGAGAAAAATAATGCAAACCACTCATTTCTTTCCCTAAATGGAGTCTTTTTTTTGGGACAACTGGAAAAGGAAATCAAGAAGTGCTCGGCAGACACACAAGCCCTTTAATTTTGTAATATTTCTCTGTTTTTATTTTTAGTTTTTTTAGCAAATAAAACATGGTCTTCAATTACCTCAACAGACTCTAGAGGAATGTCTGCAACAAGTTGTGCCACTGCACCAGCCCCGCCCAACCGGCTCATGCTCAGTACCTTTATGCAGTTCAAGGATAAGCATTAACTGAGTTAAAAACAAGGTTTTTAATGAAAAAAGAGTAATAATAACAAATAATAATATATTCATTGAGAGTAAATTAGAAAATCTATAATGATAATTCAATGATATGAAAGCACAAATACACACACATAGTTACATGGCAAGTTCCAAGTATGTAAGGTGCACTAATTCGTACGCATAGAAAAAAACTTTGACACTTTAATTTCATGAATGCCATCAATCTTATTAGACAGATCACACAATTACTCAGTATTTTCCAAGCAGTAAATAATGGATGACTATTTAAACCACGTGACCAAATCTTTATTAGAATTTGTTTTTTCTCTTTGGAAATTGTCATTTTGAGTCTTATACAGATTTTGGTGTAGTTTAAAATCATGTGGTTTTTATTACCAATACAAGCTTAAATCTTAGTACTAAAAAATCTTAAGAAAAGGAATAAGAATGTTTGTAGTTCTTTGCTCATACCATGTATTAAAATATTTCAGAGAATCAAAATTTATAACACGGGGTAACAGAATTCCACAAGTTCATAGCCAAGGGTAAAAATGGCACATTATCAAGACATTTTTAAAAAGTTATTGCATCCTCTTGGGTCACCAATTCAACATCAAAACCAGCCGGTTCACACCAACTCCATTGCATGTCCCCCATAAGTGGGACAAACTAGTCAGATGATCGATTCGTTAACCGGTCCAACTGGCCAGTCCATGCCAAGTTTGGATGCATTGTATTTAATGCATTGACTAAGGGGTTATATATTCAAGCTTTACAGTAAAAAAATAAGGGCAATGTATACATATTTTTATTCAAATTCTATTTGTAAGACAGCTTTGCTGATGAAGCAATAAGTGGTGTTCAATATAACAAGGAAAACCATTTCTGCAAGACATCCGAATGTAAGGAAATCAAGTTTTATGTTATTCATGTTTTGCATGATCGCAATCAGCAGTACTTGTGTCATTGCATCAACGACATTTATTTTAAAAAAATACCCTTTCCCAAAGGAGTTAAGAGTCAATTTTTACGATTCTTTTTAGCTTTAGGTAAAAATGGACTAAATCAAAATAACAAATTAAACTTATCTTGCTTCTTACTTCTCTGGTCTATAATACTCCATAGTTGACAGAATAGTTTGTAAATATGTGGCGCATCACAATACATACCTTAACTTGAAGGCGTAAGAATTTCACATAGTCCAGAATCTCATCCAGCATTGCAGCCCTATCTGTCTGGCAAGAAAAAGTTCCAAACTTTCACTACGAGACTACTACACGAACAAATTTGAGTTAAGGTTTTTGGTTCTTCACACAGACCAAGTGGAAAAGAAACTGTACAAACCTTATTACAGCTGGGAACAAGTTCTTGCAAGGCTTTAATTCTTTCGGATATTCTCTCTCTGCGTAGCTGCAAAAGAGTCAAAGGGCATGCAATCATTTCCTATAGCAAAAGCTTCAAGCATACTCCAACAGTACAATCATTCAATGTTTTAGATAAATAGTTTTACCCTCTCAGCAATACTGTGAGGATCTGTGGCCTGTCCTCTTCGTGCTCGAACTCTAGGTCTTATAGCTGGTGGGTGTGGGACATTAACTGCTGTGTTTGGGGATGGTTGCCCTTGAAAAGACTGCAATGAAACTAACGTTAGGAATTTTAAAAATCCATTGTTCCTTAAATTGTTATACAGTGCATCTAAAGAAGTCAAGATAGTTGTTTCTTGAAAAAGGAAAGACTTAAATGTGTGAAAGAAATGGAAACTATATTTTATTTGAAAGGATCATCATTATTGACAATGTTTTAGTTTTGGACACAAAATGGAGCATTAAACTTCCCATGCTTCTTACTTTCTGTGAAGTTTTGGGCAGTAAATGCAGTATTGCATTTACGATTTTACGGTCTAACGGTTACAACCTCTTTGTTTTTACAGGAGTAAGCCTGTATACAACTTGACTCTCCAAAGTCCAAAGGAGTTGAAAACTTGAAATCATGTTGGGTTATATTTTATTTGAAAGAGAAAAAGAAATTGCAAGATAGCATATAATCAAGATAGTGACATTAAGGACTAGAACAATTAAGGGTGAAGCAAAATAATAGTAAAAACATTTAAAAATCGAAGAAAAGAAATCACCTCATTCAACAATTCAGCAACATCTTAAAAGGTAACATTTTTCTATAAAATCTTAAAAGCTAATTACATGCATTAATTAATAGCCTGCATCTGATTTCGTTTGACAAGAAGCTAAAGAAGTCAAGATAGTTGTTTCTTGAAAAAGGAAAGACATAAATGTGCGAAAGAATTGGAAACTATATTTTATTTGGAAGAGTCATCATTGATAATGTTTTAGTTTTGGACACAAAATGGAGCATTAAACTTCCCATGCTTCTTACTTTCTGTGAAGTTTTGGGCAGTAAATGAATCATTGCATCTAGGGTCTAACGGAAACAACCCCAACGTTTTTACAGAGGTAAGACTGTGTACATCTTGACTCTCCAAACTCCAATGGAGTTGTAATTATGTTGGGTTATTTATTATTTGAAAGAGAAAAAAAAGAAATATCATGATAGCATATAATCAAGATAGTGACATTAAGGATTGGAACAATTAATGGTGAAGCAAAAAATAATAGTAATAACAATTAGAGACGAAGAAAAGAAAATACCTCATTCAACAACAATTCAGCAACATCTTAAAAGGTAACATTTTTCTATAAGATCTTAGAAGCTAATTAAATGCATTAATTAATAGCCTGCCACATTCTATAAGTAATAATGTCTTTTGTAAGGACATAACTAGAATGCAGTAAAAGCTTTACAAGATCTCACGGCTCTATCCTCTGTTTTATTTGGAAAGCTCATTCAGAAAAAAACAGATCTTCAATTGGAAAATTATTGACTTCTTAGTTCGAGGCTAAGATTTCACTACCTTTCTAAAATCATACATAGTAAGAAACTAGTATATACGACAATGCGAACTTATCTATCATAACTCATAAGAAGTGTGAATTCTATTTTTTGATAAAAATAACAGTTCTAGTTGAATCTTCAAGAAACTCGTACATTATCGGTTCTAATTATTGTTGCAAAGCTCATATACTTTCTTTGTCCCAAAAAAGAGTTTTGTTTCTCAACGTGTTTTTTGTCCTATAAAAAGAGTCATATTTTCTCAACTTGTATACCAGTAAAAACATGTTTAGTTGACTCTTTTTATGAGACAAAGAGAGTATATGATTTTCAATGCACTGTTTAGGTTCTTCTTTACAAAACTACCATGAGATCTATCATCATCATCATCTCAAGATATATCAGACACCCAAAGAATTGAACAATGAATATGATCCATCATAAACATGCATAAAAACATTATTATGAGAAGCAATCTTAAAATTATATTTTATGATTC